TAGAAGAACATCACAAAAATAAATCAAAAATCCATTGTTATGATGAAAAGTGTTAAATCAATAGGATTATATTTTAAATTGGTAATAAAAAAGAGCGTTAAGTTTAGACGATAAATAAACATATATATTTTAATTTTTATTTTATAATTAAACTTCAAATTTTCTTTGAATATTTTAGGGGGCCTGGGCCCCTTAGGCCCCTAACTCCGCCATTGTTGAATAGCATTGACTCTTGTAAAGTGATGATGTGTCCACTTCCTTTAAAGCATGTGCAATGGTTGTTTTATTTCACTGTTCTTTTCTAAAAGAAAAAAATGAAGGCAAAACTTGGCGTAATTGGTTGCCCACTCATTTTTCTCCTTAATTTTTTTTTAAATTTTTTAACAAATTTATATTTGTATTTTTCAAGTAAAAAAACGTTGTAGAAAAACACTAATAAAGGACAAAATTAAAGGGAACGTGTTGCTCGTGCTCTATATAGGCGCCTTTTCAGTCAACACCGTTCACTGTAGCCTTACGTGCTCGCAATTCTTGACCTCGAAACTCCATCCCTCTTATCCTTGGATCTTCTCAGAAACCCTTTCCAATCGATCGTCCTTGAGGGATAGCTACCTACTAGCTGCAACTTCTGTAGAACTCTTTCCTTGAGATTTGAATATTGCTATTAAATAATGCAAGCTAAGAAGCTCACATTAACAAAAGCTATGACTCCACTTTCATATATTTTAGCAGCTGCCATTTGAGACCATAATAGCAAATCTTCCTCAATACCTATAAAAGACAGAATATAACCCACTCAATATAGAACCAAACCAGAAACATAAATGCTAATTAAATGCACTGAATCAATCAAACATAAAACAAATGACCAAAAAAACACAAGCATAATACAGGAATTTTCTATTTAGATCAGTAATTAAAATTTTATTTATATATGAGTATAAAAAGTACTCAAACATTTATAATGTCATAATACTAGTACGTTCACCCAAGAACAACACCATCTGATTAAATTTCAAGACACATACCTTGTCTCCTCCATAAGTTTTTCCTGAAATAGATTGGGTACCTACCTGCTACATCCTAAACTCCACCTAGCCATCATTTCCATGAAGTTTTAAATCACTAAAAATGATAAATTTGGCATATGCTCTTCACATACAACTCATCCCAAACAAATTATAAAGATGGATCAGAGCACCCATTCAACACCAACCACAGCAAGGCAGATAAGATAGATATGATACTACACTAATTCATACCTCTGCTGCAAATGACAGCAACTCAAGGATTATGGCAACATAGAATAACCTGATAGATTTGTGAGCATTCTAAGTCTCTTTATAAAGTAGTTGTTGATGCCAAAACTCTTTTGGTTGTACCACTTGCTGTTACAGAAATTATCTCATATCTAAGCCAGTACTAGCATTGATCATCAAGCAACATTAAAAAAAGTCAAACAAACCAAAGCAAGGAATTTCAACCTTAATTTAATAAGTAATGAACAAAATGTTGGTAGAAAATCCAACCCGATGTGAACACATGGACTTTCCATGTGAAAGTTTTCTTTACCAACCTATAAGCCAATTGTGAGCTAGAATTGCTTTGTTGAAATCATGCAAGATTGCATGTTGACCTCATTTAATGAGCAAAGAAAACTTTGCTCAGGCGATTGGGATTTTTCACTATAAATACCCATGCATGCAAAAGCAATGGGCAAGCAAGAGTGAGAGTAAGCAAGAGAAGAGCTAAATGAGTGGGTGCTCTTGTGAGAAAAAAGAAAGAGAGAAATTGTGAGAAAATCGTTGTACATATTAAGAAAGAGTACTAAGGAAAATTTGAAAGTTTATATATATTGAAACTAAGATGTTAAGAGTTTCTTGACTAAGAGAAATTTTAAATTATTGTACTCTTCTTCTTAATAATTGATTTTTTTTTTGTAATATAAATTTTTTGAGAGATATACAAATCAAACCACTTTAAGCTGTTATCTTAATTTTTTTATGCTTCCATTTGCGTGAAATTGTGGAACTTAGGCCCCGTTTGGTATAGCGGTTTTGAGGTAGCGATTAGCGGTTTTACCTAAACCGCTAAATATCGGTGTTTGATAAATTTATATATTTCGAAACCGTTACAACTAAAGTGTTTGGTAAAATTTTTATTTAGCGGTTTGAGACTAGTTGATAGCGGTTAGGGTCCAAATCGTTAGCGGATTGAAAAAGCTAGTTTATGTAACTTTTTGTAC